AAATAAGAAAAAAAACACACCCCCCCCAACCAGCCACCTTGCCCCTCATTGACACACTCTTCTGCCAGCTAAAGAAGGGTTTGTCAAGCAGTTTCTAATATATTTACAGTGCAGCTAGACACGATGAGTATTTTCCAGCTCCACTTACTAATAAATTGACCACTACTTGTTCAGTTTGACTCCAGGATCACTGCAAGTCAGACAGGGATAACCAGGATATCTTAAAAGGTCAGGTATTTAAAGGGGCCTCTGATGAAGGAAATATGTTAGCTCAAGAAAAAATTGGTAGACATAGCCACACAATCCGTGTGCTAAACACCTGACTGACTACTGTATCCTGTACACATAAGAAATATCAAGAATAATGGTGAAAACTAGCCCTTGCAGCAAATTTATAGACCTACTGCAAAATCACCCTAAATCTTTATATTGAGAAAGTCTACCTTGTTGTCTGGAAAGACCCATTTGGTTTATCACAACAGAAAAAAGAAACACAGAATAATCTATAACTAGTTGAATGAAACTACTTTTCCAACTGTCATTAATATATGAACCATTATATTTACAAAAAGAGATTAAAAATTCATTATTTTGAAGGAAAATAAAGGAAAAGTTACTTTAGTTGGTTGGGGGTTTTTTTTGTTTTAATAAGGAAGTTACCTTTGGCTCTCAATATATACTTGTTTTGTACTGGGGGGGGAGGTGTTTTGGGGTTGGTGGTGGTGGTTTGGGTTTTTTCTTTAAACGTAAGTGGAAATATTGCCATATCTTCCAAGATTCAGAGCAAACTTTGCTATAAATTTCCAATCTAGAAATGACCACACATTGGATTCAAACACCTCTGGCTTTTTACCATAACATGAAAGAGCCCAATTTGTAAACAACTGGAACAGACTGTAAATTACTACAAATGCACCTTTTCTCATAAGAATGAGAACGAGACTGGAGATCTCGAGACCGCGACCTTGACCTTGATTTCCTTCCAGATTTTTTACGGCTGTATGTTCTGCTGTCTGAGGAACTACTTGAAGACGAACGCCTGCGGTGTTTCTTCTTCCTTCTGCTTCTGTTCTCTTCTTCTGTGTCCGAGGAGCGACGACCCATTTTCAAGCTACATAAAAACAAAAATTCTAAACTGTAACAAAGCCTCGTGTCTATATTACATTGTTATAATATATAAGTATACATAATGCCTGCACGTATATAAGCATATGGTTATACCATTTTTAAAAGTTATCATGTGAGTAGAAAATTTGGGTTGTATGCAAAAAAATTAAAACAAAAAAAAAACCTCAAGATTTGAATACAAGACGTCAATAAATTCATGTTACCAAGTAAGTTGAAGTTTACATTGTCAGCAAATTTGAATTAATTTTTATGGTATTATTGTTCTAAACTTTTGCAATAGATATTTCACAACCATTTAAACACACATAAATGTATTGATAAAATCAGTTACTTATCAGAGTATACTTTAACTTATTTTTACATTTTTGCCTTAGATATTGATTCTTCAGAAGTTTGGGAAGCAACGTATAAGATACTTCTAATATCTGATATTTCACTTTAAGATGCTAAGAATCTTTAATGTTTAATTTACAGTTATAAATGAAGATCCATAATACTTACACAATCAACAAAACAGTCTATTGATTTCAGTTATTGATGTGGTTCATTTCATGTGTTTTTAGACTGTGCAATTAAAATAATGTATGTTTTTGTCCTACTCATTATAATTAAAATATGCATTGAGAAAAAAACTCTAGAAAGTTATTTTTAAATTAATTTAAACTAGAGTAAGGTTGATTTTGGTTCTCAGTTTAGATCCACTCAATTTTAAATTCCTTTATTCCAAAATCAGACCTATAAACACTAAACTTCAGAAATGTTTCTTGTTTGCCAATGTGTTCACTTGGACAAAGTTTACAGACTTTGGTCTCAGATTTGAAAAAAATAGAGGGGTAGGGAAGCCTGCCAGTCATTTAATTGTTGCAAAGACTATCATCTTCATTTGGAACTCCCAAGAGATCAGCTTCATTGCTTCACAATTAAAGAATTGTTGTATTTCTTGACTTTTCAGGCAGCAGAAAGTGCTTAACGCTTTAAAACTATTTTTCTATCCCAGCAGGATCAGCCCTACCCACCCAAGACTTCAGGACCCCTCTTCACACACACTTCAGCTAATGGCAGTTAGTAACAGCCCTTCTTCCCAAGAACAAACTGTTATTTCAAGGCTCCCTAAGCTGCTTCTGCACTGGGAAAACAGGAACCCATAATTCACATCAACAGCTAGATCACAGATATATTTTGCCATAATATCACCTGCCTTGAACCAACACTGAAATATTACAGGTCCTCATATTTCTAGCATCAACAGGTTGAACTTGTTCGTTTTCTGCATACAAACTTTTGCCCTTCCTCACACCTTTTGTCACCTCGGCACAGCAGACCCTAATCTCCCGGGTAGAGACTGAAAACAGAACAAAAGAGAAATTCACCATTAAGTACATTTATGCTTAAACTCACAAAAGGTTTACATGCAATTACAAGTCTTGATTACGCTAGGCCTTTCGGTCAAAATGCATGACTGAGGAAAAAAAAAAAAAAAGTTTAGTTCCACAAAGTATCTTAAACTTACATTTTCATCCTCAAGTTCCCAAGACAGCTAAAATTGTTTTGCGCACAATCATACTTGCTACAGTCCTACACTGATATATCTAAACACCCAAATCCATAGGATTTGCAAAGTCAATGTACTGTGACCAACTTTCCCGAGGGAGCCTTTCAGGTGGCTACATTCAAAGGGCAATAAATATACAGACAATGCTGCATTTGACAGAGTTTGAAGACTATGTCAGAGATACAGGTTCGTTCATCAAATTGAGACACGCTCCTCCCACACTGCTGCAGCTCGTCCTAAGGACTGCCAGACCCCTGGGGCCAGAGCAAGGAAGCTACAGCAAGCACAAATCAAGAGTCCAAGGGACATACACCTGGAAAGTGCCAAGTTCTGGACCTGGCATCCACTTCAAGAGAGTTTCCATATTTTATCCAACAGTTGTTTAATGCAAAATACAAGACAGTCCCTTAAGTATCTGGGCTTTCTTTGATGTTCACTGGAGTTCACTTACTGCCACAATCTAAACAGTAGCTACGTAAACTCATTCCTGTGTAGCCAAATCTCTGAGGATTACAGACAGCTCTTCGGCACGCAACTCGGAGCTATCAGTTCCACTCCTGCAGCCAGGAGTGCCTACAAATTAGTCGCTACTAAGCTTTGCTGTAGTCAGTCCCTCTGTATATGTACTTCACTTCTCAACAGTTTCTGTTTTCAGCACTTTAGAATTGGTCCTTCAGCTAACAATCTAAACAAAGCCTTTTTGAAATATTCAACTTAAAACAGCAAACCTCCATGCACCCAAAAGAGCGGAGTTTTAGGATGAACTGCTATGTAAAGAGAAATTCTTTTTTAAATGAAGTTATTTCTACCATCTTACTAAAATTATTCGCCACAGATTTTGAAAGAGGCAGGGGCATTACTTTACAGGCTATTTTATCTCATTAAGAAACAATGACCTTAATTTACAATTGTATAGAGGAATGCCAATTTATATCAACACACTATCTTGTGCAGTCATTTAATTTTTCCCCTCGTAGTAGATTTACAGAACTCCAAGGTACTGTTGTTGAACAGCAAAATAAAGCTCTTCAAATATATACTGATAGAACAATCTTCAAATGAACATGAACCTGAATTGCAAACTTAAAATAAGCTGAACTGCTCAGAAAGATGAAACTACAACACACAGATTTTAAGCTAAAAGCTCACAGACCATAGCTCATGACAGCAAGATTAATGAAAGAGACCAGAGAAACAGAGAATACTAAAGACATTTGTGCTGAGATATTCGCCATTTGATGTGGATATCATTATGAGCCAGAACATTACACTTCAACATATATATCGTCTGTTGTTTTACTTCCTTTTTTTGCCATCAGCTTCTTTCCCCATTTGGGCATATAACTGGATTAGGCAACATATAGAACTAGTGAAGCATATTACATAAATCTCAATTTTGTGTCTTCAGGACCAAAGAACAACTACATCCTGTGGCCCTTCCCTATTACAGGACAAGCCCTACAGCAAACATGCACATACTTGAGCCTCAGGAGATCCAGGAGCACTGGGTTTACCATGGATGAGCTACAGGACAAAGGCACATGGGTGACTGATGCCCTTCACATTCTAGAGTTTCGACTGGAAAAGAGGTTGCCAGAAGCAGACTGCTGATCCTGGAACAACTTCTGCAGCCAAGTCATAGTAGCTGCCTCCTCCAGGGAATACTTTGGATGTACACAGGCAACAGACAAACTTGTCTGACAGGCACTATATTTCACCGGGGTCTTTAGACCATCCCTTGGTCATGACGTATTTTCCTGTGAAGACACCTCTTATAAACATAGCATTTGAGAGTAGTCAATTATCGAGACCTGTAACAGGTTAGTATTCTCCCAAACTACTGCCTACTGCCTCCATACTCCTCAACAGCGCTGGGAGAAGGGATTGCCAGCATTGACTGATCACACCAGCTGAGGCCTGATGGCTAATGAGTTGTTCTGGTGGGTCAGGGGTGGTCCATATACCATTTCCACAAACAGGACTGTATAATAGTACCTACAGATCTCAGAGGAGAACTAAGATAGTTTAGGGAATCTTAATTAACAAAACAATGAGGCAGGGGAAAAAAAAACAAACAGAAAAAATTAAGACTCATGTGCCATCATATGCTGAATCTCATGTTTTTTTCCTACCTGGCTGTTTCCATACAAAGTCTGTGGATCCACCACAAAAACTTGTACCACAGAGTTAATGGAGTGGCATAAGAGAATTCACCCTTATAGCTATGAGGAGTTCCATTTTTAAGGCTCATTACTTCTCAGACAGAAGTGTTAAACCGTATGTATCTGCAATAGGAGACAGGCTTCTGCCAACCCCTCTTTATGTGTAGGCACTGTGGAAGATATGGCTCACAATCCCTAGCAAGACACAAGAGGCTTTTATCCTGACTACGGAGCAATACTAGGATGAGGAGAAGAGGAGGAAGGAAAGGCATATTAACGAGCACCAACAGCAAATGAACAGTTTCAGATGAACTTAGAACCTGGGTCACATCCCAGGTGTTCGTGGGGAGACAGTCTCCTGACCACCACATCAGGGAGGCTCATTCTTTTCCATCACCCAGCCCCAACCTTCTCCTGGCGTGGCACTCATTCACTCTTAGCATATCTCCTCACCCACCTCTGAGTTTAGATCAAACTATTCTGGTCCAACAGCAAAGGAACACTGAGAATTCAGAAGATGCTATCTCAAGATAGGAGGACCTGCAGCAGCTACACCGAAATCATACTGAAACCTGAGCTGGAACATAACATCAAGTTAATCAGCTAGGTCAGTATTCTTGAAGGCTCTAGTGAATGTCTGTGAATTTCAACATTTTGAAGGCTTGCAATTTGTCTGAAATTGAACAGCTTTGCAACAGAATGCCTAACACCTGGGCCTGATAAATTTTAAGTCCTCATTCAGGAGCACAGGCATGTTGGAATATGTAAAAGACAGGTCTCCAGGCCTTTGTTTTTCAAATAGTTATTTTTTGTCTAAGTCCTGTTTCTGAAAACTGATGCTGCAACACTTTGGTTGGAACAAAACCAAAGCACATACTCTCACACACACGTTTTGCCAAGAGAAACACCAATATCAAAAATTTCAAATCAACTATTTACATTTGGCAAAGTTATAAACAGTGCTATCAAGCTCACCTGCAAAGAGCTAAGTAACCTCCCACCCTGCATTTAAAAATGTAAAGAAAACATAGATGACATAGGAAACAGACTTCTCTAGAAAAATCTATTCAAGAGAGTAAGGTACACTTTAAAAGGTAGTAAGAATTATACGCTCATTGATCTGACCTTGTTCAATCTTGTTTCATAGATTTTTAGAACTATTTTGTATTTTCAAGCATGAGTTTCAAATTATTATTGTATTAACTACTGTAGATTGTCAGAAAAATACTATCATTTTGTTGTTTTTAATAAAACAATTTATGTTTGTTAGTTACTAAGAGACTTTGACTATCACTGAGCTGCGATAATCACTAACCACCTATGCCGTTTATGTAGCGTCTCTACAAACAAGATCCTTTATGAAATTCCAACCCATTATATGGGTATTGATGGAAAATACACTGCAACCATCTCCTCCTTTCCTGTTTTTTAGAGAATCAACAAGTTAGGATGAGATGCTACTTCAGCTTCAGCCAGGGAACAAGGTTAACTGAAGTAAAATTTATTCTAAGACCTCAACAAACATGCTCACTAGCTAGTAAGTAGGAGTCACAGTGTTACTAATGGCAACACTGCTCCCCAAAAAAAGGAAGACCACAAACAGGCGGAGGGTAGAAGCCCCTTTCAGACAGCTTCTGTATGTGTACAGATCAAAGACTGTCTTTGTATCTACCTCCACCAAGCTTGTAGTTATGTGGAAACTCTCCCTGCTCTACAATCTGAATTACTGTTGTTGATTTCACATACTTATCCAGTGGTGCCTCTTTCTTTTTTTTCAGACCACTACAGGAAGAACACCTGAATCGCATCTATCAAGACAGCTACCATAACTGGTCACCTCAGAAGAAAGTCTAGAGATCAAAAAAAAAAAAATCACAGGAATCCATTTACTTTCTTACAATCTCGCCCATAGCAACAAGAATCCACAGGTACCAAACATACCACAACACTGTCTTCTGGTTGCTTAAAGGATGTCCTCTCTGACAATTACATCAACAGTATTTTTCAAAATCATTAATTTTCAACCTGCAGAAAGTTTGTCTCAATTCAAAATCATGGGCAAGCAATTTATAGTAGCAGTATTCTTTAATTCAGCTTCAAATCTTCAGATTTCAAAGTTAAACGTGGTATAAACTAGGCTCAAGGAAACATCACATCACATCACGGTCATCCAGGACACCAACAGCAAGAGTGGAGAATTGAACCAAGGCCTCAAACCCCAGTATGGTGCTCATCTGCTAAGGGACAGCCTCCACAAGCCATCTTTTGCTCAATAATTCTTAATTCTGAAAACTGGCCTTCCATCACATAACTACATTTTCCACACTTGAAGGCAGTAAGAACAACAAACATTCCTATTTTAGATCAACCCAAGTTCACTATGGGCATTAATTAACCAGCATTTCTTCCAAGTAACCAACTTTCAGAATAAGCTTACAGACCAACTCAGTTTACATGAACTTTATGATGCAGCTTTTGGGTTTTTTTTTTTTTTGAAATCAAGTTCTAAATACCTTCCTCGGTCATGGGGTGTAGGATCATGCTAAACCACTTCAAATAACATGTTTAAAATTTGTCTCAGATCAGTAGAGCAGATAAAACCATTGGGAAAAAATTTCATCCGTATCTGAAAAAGTAACACCCAGAATTGTATTTAGCTGAAATGCAAAATGAAAATACCTGAAACAACTGCTGCTAGAAACAGCACATCAGATACAGAAGAAATCAAATTGCGTACCTTCTTTACCCACACTTTCACAGACAAGAGCTGGGAAAGCAAAATTCTGCAGACATAGTTTCCTCTTATCATCCCGTGACTCGAAATACAACGTGGACTCCAAGGGCAGGTGCCAGGGGCAGCAACGTCCCTTACGGACACTTCATGTTCCCTACTCACCTCAGCTGGGCCCTGCTACACAGCGGGAGGCGGGACAGACTCGGAAGGGACTGGGAGGAGAACCCGTTCCCAGCGCTCCCGGCCAGCTCACACCGGGAAATCCCACCAGAGCCCGGAGGATCACAGCCCGGGCTCCGCTCCGCTCCCAGCC